TTTAGAAAAATACCACTTCTTGAAACCATAGACATAATTTGTCAACATTCTGACATCCTACCTCTACCAGTACCAGAATTCAAACGACTGTTATTCATTTGCACAAAAGATGTTCAGTTCCAGTTCAACGATATCATATACAACAAACCGACGGTGTAGCAATGGGAAGTCCGTTAGGTCCTGTCCTAGCAGATATTTTCATGGCTAACCTTGAAGAACCAAACTAAAACGAGCGATTGATGAAATGCCGTATTATTCGAGGTATGTTGATGATACTTTCATCGTATGTAATAATCGACAACATACGACAGATCTGTTAAGCTTTTTCAATGATGCTCATCCAAATATTCATTTCACTATGGAATATGGAAGCGACATTCACGATTTCTCTCTAAAATGGCATTTGCTATCTTATTCTGGTTCGGACTACACATGATCTGTCTAAGAATAGCATCGGCTCCTGTAAAGCTACCAGATGCCCCATTACCCTTATTCACAACTCGTACAAGGGCACCTTTCTCAACACCATCCTCGATACCACGGCGAATATGTTCTGCCTGCGTCTTCAGAGTTTTAGTTACTGGCTTCTTTGTTACGGTGGCCTTCGGCCTTTTCGTAGTCTTGACTTTCAGTTTGGTGACCTTCTTTTCCTTGGGCTTTCTTAGAGTTGATTTGGGTTTGTTAGCAGATGGTGCTTCAGTTTCTGGCTTGAAACCTTGAACTTAGTTGATAAAAAGGAACAATGAACTTGACGAGAGACATTGTTGGAACGAACATACTCCGCAACACCATATGCAGATTCTGAGGCATCGGTAGAGCGATGAATCTGACTAGTCACTGGTTTTGACGATTCTGGTAATGCTATACGATCTTCCACAGACATCGATGAAAAACGACTAGATGGGTCTTTGAATTCAGTTGAATACAATTGTTCAAACGTCTCCTCTAATTCCTCCTTAGCCGAGTGGTAATTCAGTACATGGCTGCTTTCATGGGGTTCTCCGTAAGGGCCAAACAGTGTCCAACCCAATATAGTCCTCATAGCAAACGGTTCATTCGTCTTTCCGGTTCTTATCTCTTTCATCTCGTGAACGCTCGGTGCGTTGCACCCAATCAACAGTTTGACATTCTCATCTACTCTCGGAAAACGTATACCTTTTAAATAGGACTAGGATGCCATTTGATGTGCCGTTGTCACAGTCCTGTAAACTGCCGGTAGTTTTTTGACTGTCAATACTTTCTGGACCTTAACGGATGACGAAAAATCTATAGAGTGCAACTCTACATCAACCTCTATGAATACCAACGACGATTCATTACTAAGAGTCTCTAGTGATACCGCTTTTTGGTTTACACTTGAGGCCTAACTTATCAGCTAGATCATCAAATATGAGAGAGGTATCTGACCTGCTATCTAAAGAGGCGCAAGTCTGAATAATCCCACCATTTTTTTTATCCATACAGGCACTACTGCAAATGCTAGTGGTCTTTGTATACACTTAACGACTTCCTCCGTACAAAGCTGAGTATTATTGTAGGGATCACTATTAGTTTTTCCCGCTTCTCGTGTAACAGGGTATGGTGTCTCTAGTCACACACTTCAACAGCACATGACCTCGGCGATCGACAGTTTTTTGCTCCATGATTTGCCTTGAGACATACACCACACGACTTGTGTCTAAGAACGAATTCTTTCCTTTCTCTAACATTCTTGTCTTTAAACTTTTGACATTGATCTAAAGAATGATTACTTAAGCACTCCAAACTGTGTAAGGGAGCATTATCATCACTATCACTCGCATAAGATATCCTTACTGCATTGTAATCTGCACTAATTTTCACTTTAAAACACAAACATCTCTATTGTCACTATTACTACCGCGGTTGACAAGTAGGCCGTGTCTAGTATTAGCTATATCAGCTTGTTCCTTTACAAACTGTACAAAATCTACAAACAGAGGCTCTCGACCTCCTCTGATAATCTTATAAGCTACCATTAGCCACCCTTGTTGCATGTGCATTCGTAATTCAGAACCATAGTTTCAATAGTTCTAGAAGAGTTCAAATCAGAAACGTAAATCATCTGTTCGAGAGTCGAACCAAATGCTTGCATTTCTCGAGGCAGTCTTCACATACCATCTGGTTGATTCCTTCTTATAATGGAAAAGTTTAACAAGCTGTCAATAAACGTGCGTGCTATAATGTGTTTTTGGCCAAACGTTTACTCTAAAAGCTTTAGGGCTTGACGATAACCTATCCCTGGTTCTAGTATAGTGCAATAAAGAATAGAGGCTCTTGCCTCCCCGTCATTTCAGTAGGTATATCGAAATTAATGTTCGAAACTTTGTAGGAATTTCCTACAGGTGTAACTCTAAGCTATTCTCTGGGCTGTCGAGCACAGAGTCTTGGTTTAGCCAAAGTCAGAACAAGTAAGCCATTTGGCTTGATAAACTTGATCTGTTTCTAAAACATAAATTAACATTGTTAGTACAGTCTATTAACACAGGACAAAACAGACGTAAGTAACATACCGAACAGTAACTAGAGGATAGGAAATACGAGTCAACAAGATAAATGTTGTTTTATAATGAACATAAAATTGTGATTGGCGAATAAACAAGACATGATCATACAGGGTCAAAGAAAGTTAATTTGGTGGTGGGCGTTTCACTTTATCATTGGTGAGTTCGTTTATCGATCACTCTTTACATACATATATAGTGGCTTGTTAAGCAGCATACATAAATTTGTCTTAATCACCTTATGCTTACCACTTGTTCTATTTGAGCGTTGCCTGAAATAAACTGTTGGCACTAATTCATTATTTCACCTTCTGGAAATAATACCCCGTTAAGGAATTATAATGACGACGGTTATCCGGGCGATTGTTAGAAATCGATAACGGCAACAAAATGATCTACTTTGAGCAGTAATTTTTCTAGTAGAAATCTGACTGGTCATTTCAAGTCTGAAAAGTTGGTTATCTAACTTACAAGAACCCTACATTTTGAAATGTAAATGACACTTCATTTCGAATAATTGGGAAACATTAATATATAGCTATAGATACCAACCAGTTATTCATTTTAGAAAACCTATGTGAAGTTATTTCCAAAAATAGAATTCAGTTCATGTGAGAACTTGAAAAACTGTTTGCAAATCTTGAATAAATTTCTTCCAAATGACATGAATGTTACCAAAGATTGGAAATAAAATCACAACAATCGGAAGCAAACTATTTCCGCTCATCAACTAATTCTATACCTTACGTTCCTTTCGTTTAATACAGTTTACGTTAACCATTTTCGAATCTGTGAAATTTTGTGATTTAACTTCAATATACAACAAAACACACAAGCTTACTGTGAACTGAACCGATTTGGATACTGGATTTAAAGCAGTTCTCAATGTTATATCATCTGTATTCCCCGTTTTATTAATCACGTCAATTGACTGTATCTGTGGGCTGAGGTAAAAGATTATTGACTGTCTTTCGCATTCCAATCCTGTACCGTTCATCATTTGGACCAGGATTTGAAGATAAACCTCATCCCTGTGTACAGGATTAGAAATAAACAATTTTAAAATGAAGTATTGAAACAAGCTACCCTGGTCATAAAATGTGGTAGTAATTGTACAACAAAATAGATGATGTAAAATATCATATTGACTGAGCATTATGCACAGTTGTTTTTGTGGATCGATTTTAGAGGTCTAAAAATGACTAAGTATTCATCAAATAATTTGTATTATACTCCATACTTCATTTGATTACGAATTCACACTTTTATTGTGACCAGCGAAGTTCAGTCCGTGTTGGGTGTGAGGAAATTAATTATCATAGACAATGGGAGGTCGTAACGCAATCTCGCTACTTGATATATATATATATATATATATATATATATATATATATATATATATATATATATATATATATATATATATATATATATATATATATATATATATATATATATATATATATATATATATATATACAACTACATTTTTGTAGGGCTTTGTTGTCTAGTAGAGGATAAATTTTATAATTTTGCCTTGAGACATATTTCATATAAGTAACAAATAAAGGTAAGACAAATTATCACAGTCATTGTAATCTCCCACCCTTGATTCTTTCAATGATTATATTTTACGTATTCACCTCATAATGCTTCTGACCAGTTAGAATTCGGCTAAACAAACAGACCGAACGGTTTTAGTATGAACCATGAACAAATAATTCAAAAGTGATATTGAGGCAAAACAGTATTCCTTAGAATCAAAATCATGTTAAGCCGGAGGAACAGGAAGTAGGGAATCACTGATTTTGAACTGAACGAAATAAAATCCTAAAAACTGGAGAATTTCACACTATGCTGGTGAATCAGAACCATACGAAATGTATTGCCACCTGTCGCCAGAACAGTAGTTTTTATAATGGTTCTAACCTGAATCATTGATTTCGATTATTACCCTGACCAAGTGCAAACTAACACCGTGGACGAAATGTTGGAATTATTTCAGCTTAAATCACTAAGATTATTTGAAATATAATTTTTAAGTAGTTTTCACACATAAATTACTGGTGACCTGAAGAAGGTGATTAAACTCATGTTAAATAACAACCTTGTGTGGTATGAATGATTGGAGTTTGACATTAATCTGTATCTCAAGGTAATTCGTTTTTAAATTACATTTTATGAGATCGACTTAATGGTAGCTTGGTAGTCAAGTAACACTATAGACTGATTAAGGTATTTCTTGTGGCAGTGTTGTACAAATGACTAAGAACTGATATTGACATCGTAAGTTGTAGGTGATTTACACTCGGTTCAGATGCTGATAAATAGATCAAGAGATGCACCAGAAAAGCACTTAACAGAATAATTACAGCCTGTGTACTTAATATGCTATTGTAAAATGAATTCATTTCTAATACTGAATCAATTATATGAAAGTATAAACACAAAACGAGGGTTAAAATATTTTGAACAAACCGATTAGGGCAATCATTGGATGCAACCAGTGATAATTGAGATGGTACAACTTCAATTGAAGGTTTTTCCAAACCAGTTCTTACACAAATTACAGATAAGTTGGTGAGCTTTGTAATATTATTGAATCGACCAGCAAATTGCATCAACCAGACAGTCCCATTTTCAACACTTTTACTATCACTTAACTGGATATCCACTGAAAGCATGGCAGTGTTGCGCATTAGAGGTACACTTACAGTTCCTGCAAATTCAAAATAATGTCCTAATAAATATTTTGCGCAACTAAAATACTAAGGCAATGCGTTTGTACTAAATTAATGGTAGGCCATCCAAGCAGCACTCTGAAATTAATTTTATAATAATATGACAAAAAGCAGAGCAGACGTTTTTGGAAATTTTTTACTCATTTGGACATCTAGAACATGTGTTGTTTACAATTCGATTTGATTTCAGAATGCCCGTAGAACGTTCTTATCACAAACAACTGGTTATTTCGCTACAGAGGGTTTGCTGAGGTTATTGATTTCATGAATTACATCATGGATTAATCTTAGGTAAATTACCATTGGAAGCCAAAAAGCACTGAACGGTTGTTTCGTTCTAATACTAGACTCTTTGACAGTGCATATCCAATCTGAGATAGAACACAGAACATTTCGGACTCACAGTGAGCCCCTAACATTTGAACCACCAAGCCGGTGTCCAGTGAATTCCATTTATATCATAATCTTGAAAAACTATTCGTATATATATTCAATTTTGTTCTGAGTCATAGGGTTATCATGGCAACTGGGTAGCTGATTTGTTGCTAAATCTAAATTTAATAGTGAACTCACCGATGTTAACGATATTTTCAAAGTGAATTATCACGCGATCCATAAGGCCTGTTTGATTATTTGGCTTATAGGTAGATGAATAAGTAGTTGTCAGTGGGACTAAATTTGAACCCAAGCTTATTCTGAAATCATTGACACATATTATAGTCTCATTGTTATCGTTTGCTCCACCTCCACTAATTTCTACAGACGAGTTTGGATAAGTGGAATTCAGTGGAAATATATACTTCACAGTAATAGTTGTTCTTTCACCTGGCTGAAGATTAACTCTGATTGGAAGTAATTCGACCAGTATCTGAAAGGAAAATATTTGAAGTCATATTATCGCAATAATAGTTGAATGTTGCTAAAACTTCGAATAGTTTTGCAGTTCGAATTTCCCAAATACCTTCTGTTATATGCGGACGAAAATAAATGAATGGTAACCGTTAGGAATTATTTATGGGTTAATATTATACGTATATTCTTATTGTATGACTATTAAGTGACCACATTATATGTATATTCATATTCCTTTCATTATAAGCTTTTATTTGACCTATAGACTTAATCATACGATTTAAAAATTTTAAGTTTTGTCCAGTTTATTAGTTGCTGTCTCCCACAATTACATCCACTTTCGGATTGATCTTGTATTAATGTTATTTTCTATTTCGTGGTGTGACGTGGTCTGATTTGTTAGTTTATAAAGTCAATATGATTGAAATATACCATTCGTATCGAGGAGTATGAGTTTGGCGTTCTGGACTTCTACTTGAGTCATATTTTGACCTTGTTAATTATTCGCTTATCAACCTCGACTGTTTTTACATGGGTGCATTTGTATTGGTACACTTCATATTCCATTATTCATCACATGACTGTAACCTATTTTTGTGTGACTATAAATAATGATTAACGTTTAACTAAATCGTGTTGGCTTACCCGCCTTCTCCACTGCCCGTCGTTTCGCTTCGCTCTGTTCCATTAGCTTCATATACAAAATATATGTATTCAAAAGCCCATTCTCGTAATTTAACTTATTTAATTCCCTTATTGACTAACACGATTTAAATCGACGATTGTATACGAGGATAGGAGACATATATCTCGATAACAATCATTCATAAGATCTACTTGGAGTAAGTTCCCCTACCACTAAACTGGTGAGCCCGTCGACAAACATCGTCCGATCTAAATGACGACAAAATAAAAGGCCCTAAAAATTCTATAGAGTCAACTAGCAATGGAAATGAGAAGATACAACTCGACAGTACTCGGAATCAGTGAAAACTATTGAACTCAACCTGAACAGATAAGATTAGCTTCAGGAGATATGCTGCTATACTCTGGTCACGAAGAAGAAGATGCTTATCACACTCAGGCAGTTGCACTGATGCTGTCCAACGAAGCATGCAATGAACGTATAGGATGGAAATCTCATGGATCTAGAATCATCAAAGCATCCCTCAAAAAAAGAAGGAAAGAATCCCAATGAATATTATCCAGCGTTATGCACACACCAATGATAGCGAAGAAAACGACCGATATCAGTTTTATGAGATGATGAAATTGATAAAAAATAAATACACAGAAAAAGACCTGACCATCGTGATGCGACATTGAAATGCCAAAGTTGTGTAAAAAGGACAGCGATTATGTTAATATCATGGACACAAAACTGGCAGGAAGTAAACGAAATGGCGACAAATTGGGAAATATGTGTACATTCAAATAAATGGTTATAGGTAGGACAATACTACCACACAAACACATACGCAAAGCCATACTGGTCTCATCGGATCACAACACACAGAATCAAATCGCTCTATTAGCATCAGAAAAAACTCAGAAACAGGAAGACGTGAGAATCAGGAGAGTAGCTGACATAACTTCAGATCGTCATTGATATTCATGCAAGACAATTTAGAGTTTGGCTGTTCATGATACACATTGACGAAAGCATGATCTCAAAGCTCACAGAAAACTATCGATTTAATTGAAAGCAATAGAATAAGGGAAAAGATAATAAAGAAGTCGAAGAGTGAAGTTGAGCTACACCATCAAGCTTACATTGAACGTCCAAGCCATTTCTAGATCACATAGCATTTATCAAAGGTGTTAGAAATTAGTGTCTGTATTTAGAATTGTGAATGAAGGTTACAGTTTTCATCATGAATTAGCGTCAATTATAATCCAAGTACCTCAAACTGCATATCCTAAGCATTCTAGGCGTATTGAGTAATTCATCGATCCTTGCCATCTTTTGATTGGATAAACGGGTTGAGATATCGAGGTCGTCCGGAGATATAGCTCAGGTCCACCAAATCGAGTAAACACGTGATCGCATTCATAGAATCAAACCAACATTTGTTGGCTTCACGGATGATGCTAATCCTTGGTTCCAGTGCGACCTTGATAAAATGTAATTACTACTACTGGTAATAATTATGCTAGTAAAATAGTGTTTTTCCAAACTCCTGATTTATAGGTTAAGCCAAAATAATACGTATCTTAAAGTAAATTTCTGCTAGCACTGTAGTCATTGTCTGGGACAACTCATTTAACCATTAGTATCTGCGATTGATGCTAATCAACTTCCCTTCAATCAGAGGAATATCATTACGAAGTACTCAGTGGTGTACGTATCCAACCAAATTAAAAAGAAAATTGGCTTAACTTGTTATCAAAAGCATAAATAAATAGTAATAGTTAAAATTGCCATCTGAGAATTCAGTTTACCTCACCGTCACAGATTTTTCGTTGATCCTGTGACAGATCACTTTCATTTACTATGTACTTCCATCGAATAAATTTTGTTGGTTCTCTCACAAATGGATGACGTTCAACACGGTATTATCTTTAGCAAGTTCAAAACTGACCTTATTGAAATATAATTAACATATTTAACCTAGTATATGATACTTGGGTTAAATCTCATTCAGAAAAGCTAAATGCAAAATGTCGCTGTGAGAATATACTATTCCAAGCGTTCACATACGATCAGATAGACCGTAATAGAAGGTGTAAATGAAAATAGTCCAGTGACAACTCCATTTAATTAATTCCGATTATGTGTAAGACAAATAATGCACAAAATACAGATAACCGTTATGGCTATAGACAGAATAGAAAAACGGCATTCAGAAAGCATGCAAACGTAGAAAAGTAGACGACTATCATGTCTGAGCTGATAGGTATGGCAACCAACTGAATTACAATGACACTTGTTGAGGCTTCTTTTGTCTGATCATAGATAGATTTGTATGCATAATAGGTCGATGGGCTTGGTATAATCCAATAATATGGAGTATTTACGATTCGTATTATGAATTTAGTGTCACATAAATCATTGAGATGATCAGTTATTTTTACGGCTACGTCTAAAATATGGAATAATCTGTCAAACTCAGTGTCGTAAAGTGACATTAATCAGGTGTCGTAGAAAATCCTATATTTATATTATTTTCCATGTGAAAAGTGTTATGGCTTAAAAAGTATGTTTTGTAATACATTTAGATCAAAGATATACAATAACTGAAATTGCAAAATTGTCTAGTTCATTTGTATACAATACAAATGAATAAATTATAGAGTGGACTGAAAATGTGTAGGAATGAGTGAAAATATTATTATGATACTGAAAATAGTTTTAGAGGCTTTATTCAGACTCCAGTAAGAAAACAGTAAAGGATTTACTTTCAACTTATTCTTTATATTCTTTCATAAATTAGAATAATGAAGTGATTATGAACTTACTGATAGACAATTAACTTTTGCTAAAAAAAACAATCGCTATAGTTGTTCAAGGTTAAAATAGACAAAGTTCAATTTGAATAAAGTCAACACTACCGAGTAAAATCGAAAATTTAATGATCTGTTGATGGGTTATATGAATACTTTGCTGCCACATCACATAATAAAAACGCGTAAATCATATTTCTGATTACGTTTTTGTCCAAATAACATTGAAACACCAACACCAAGAATTTGTATCAATCTACGTGTATTAAAAATCACAAAAACATACTTATTCTTTTCAAGATAACAACTCCTGCTGTGGCACATCAGAAGGACAAGAGCAGACGTGAAATATTTGCAAATTTATGTATATTCAACTAAATAGTTATAGGGGGTTAAAGGTGACACAGTATTCACGCACAAATGCATACACAAAGCTACACCGATCTCACCGATCCCATGATCAAACAGAAGCTAAAGAAACACTGGACAACGGGGCGAACAGCATTACAAAGATTCAATACAGTCTTCCTTCCAGCAAACTCAACCAATTCAAGATAACTCTCACCAACACGCTACAAGCCTTACAAGATCTACTGGAAGAAGAAGAATCTACTGTGGAGGACAACTGGAAAGGGATCGGAGAAGCCATAACCTCAACGTGTCAGTAGGTCATGGGTCATAACAAGCACCATCATAAGGAATGTGTCTCCGTGGGAAGCCTGGACAAGATCCAAGAAAGGAGGGAGAGGAAGACGGCAATTAACCCAAAACTGTCGACGAAAAACATAGAGTGTCAAGGCACAAGTTGAATACACTGAAGCAAACAGGCAAGTGAATAGGAGCAACAGAGCTGACAAACAGAAATACGTGGAATACCTAGCAACGACAGTGGAAAAAGCTGTAAGTGCAGAAAATATCAAACAACGATATAACACGATATGACGAAAACACTAGCAAAGAAATATAGTAAACCAGAGGGACCAGTCAAGGACAAAGAAGACAAGACAATCACCGAGACTCAAGAACAGAGGAACAGGTGAGTTGAATAATTTGAGGTACTCTTGAATAGGCCAGTCCCACTGAATCCACTGGATATCGAAACGGCACACACAAACCTTCCCATAGATGTCACTCCATCAACGATGGAAGAAATTTGGATGACCTTCAGTCAAATCAAGAGTGGGAAAGCAGAAGGTCCTGACAATATTCAATCTGATGTACTGAGGTCAGACCTACAAGTAACTGCAAACATGCTTCACACTCTGTTCAAGAAGATTTGGGAGGAGGAACAAATGCCACTAACATACTGGAAAGAAGGACACACCTCATCAAGATACCAAAGAACGAAGATCTGAGCAAATGTGAGAACTATGGAGGCATCACACTACTATCGGTACCAGGAAACGTTTTCAACAGTGTTGCTGAATCGGTTGATAGATTCAGTGGACGTTCAACTTCGAGATCAACAGACTGGATTTTGCAAGGATCGGTCGTGCACAGACCAAATCCCAACACTACGGATCATTGTTGAGCAATCAATTGAATGGAACTAGTCACTATTCACCAACGTCC